ATCTATATCAGGAATTCGGAGGGTGCACTCAACTTTTACCATTCTCTCTTCCACGATAGCCCTGAAGGAGAATTATTCCCTAAGACCCGGCATCCTTATTGACCCCAACTCCTTGCTCTGAGCGCCATATTAATTAAAGGCTCCCTGTTCTTGCCGTCAGTAAAAGTGTCAGGTAGACTCGGTTCTGGAACCCCATAGAATAGGACCGGTGATGAGTCATTGATTACTTTCTCCCCTTTCCTTTCTAATTCCTTGCTTTCTTGGCTGACGACGCTTTTAATTTAGTTTCTAAGTGACTCTCGTTCAGTTCCCCTCTCTCTCAATAGAGGTATATAGGGCCTAATGTCGTACTCCCCTCTATCAAGGTGTTTTACCACAAGGACATAGGCTTTCCCAGGAGCGCGGCGTTCCTCCAGCGATATACAACTTTCTGTTTTGTAAGGAAACGCCCCCCCTCGTAATAGGGACTAAGGCGTCTAGGGCCGCTGTGACCCTAGGGCAATACCCTGACATTTTTCATTCCCTATCCTCTTATCGTTACCCTTCTGCGCCTTCCTCCTCACAGGCTCACCGAGGTCACTGTACACAGGCAGTTTCACCGAGGTTACTCTAGGCTCATCCGAACCCCCACTCGTGGCCATCGTCCCTTGACATAATCTTCTATTTCGGTAGCGCTCCTGAAGTACCCCACCCTTTCCTTAGGAAAATCTGTGGCGTCTTCCCACTCTTCACGGTCGTCGTCCATGGATCGTTCCCACTCGGCTAGATCCCAATCTTCTTCCCCATACACTATGTCCTCATCGTTTACTGGCTCTGTCCCTTCGTAGTATGTCCGGAGTTCGAAGAACCCAATGAGTGACCCTTCCCTAACTGACGAGTCGTACCCAGGGGACCCGTATAACTCGACCTCACCAGCTAGGTAGCTCGCTGGCTCCGTCAGGGCTCTATCGAAAGCGGTCCAGAACTCGGCCGGTTGATCAAACCTCGGCGCCTCTCTGAGACCCCTAGGTGAGATGACTCTAATCAGCTCCACCAATTCTAAAGTCGACTCCCCGAACCAGGGCCCTTCCTTCCAGAGCGCGTAGTAGGCGTGATCCTCGTCACTGCTCCTCAAGAGGTTTCTAATCTCGAGAAAAGCTCGGTAGACCTCAATAAGGCGGCTAAGCCCCCCTAGAAAGCCTTCCAAGACAAAACCCGGGACGGGCAGCCTCAAAGCTTGCTCGGGTTGGGGCAAGAACCTTTCTCTAGCCAGTCGAAGTGAGACCACTACCGACCTATAGTCCCTGTCGTAGTAGCGTTCCTTCCCCCTTAGCTTGTCGACCACTTCCTGCAGTATACGTCGCGCTGTTACCTCGTCTGCCCAAGTATGAGAGTCGAGACTCGGAATCACCCCTAAGACCGGATCCCACCGACTTTGTTCTACGACTTGGAAAACTATGTCCGCTAGAATGGAAGACTGATAGTAGAGGAAGCCTCTGACCGCCAATTCCAGGGATTCTTCTATTAGCCTGCCTCTCCTGTCGAACTCACACCCTACCTGGGGCGCGACCAGCAACCAGACCCCCGGTCTCAACAGGATAGATCTCCACTCCTTATCTACTTTATCCAGATTTCTTTGCGTGACAGCTTGCCCGGGTAAGGTAAATTCCACCCAATCTTCTCCAATGAACTCAAGTTCCCTATAGTCGAAGTGGCAAAGCTCAACTGGGTGCTCTATCTCGTCGTGAGGCATCTAGTCCTCCGCGGAGCTCCCGTCTAAAATCCTGCCCCTGTCTATCTCCCCACTTGTCTCTGCTCTCCTTACCTCGTCTCTGACCCTGAACACGTTTCTGCGCAACTGTCTACGTGTGGGAATCGCTCGGTCTAGACAGTAAGTAAGTAACCAGGCTAGCTCGACGACAGTTATCCTAAACTGTTTTGCCCTCTGCACTACAACGAGTTGCCTCCGATGTCTCTCCTCATCGCCAAAGACTACTCCTGTGAGGAATCTAGGAACGATAACCGCTCTGACATACGTAGCTCCAGGGAGCTCCCAGTCGTTCGCAAAACGCACCGTGTAGAAGGCTACCGAGTCAGCTCCGCTAATCTCCACAAACTCACTGAACACTCTCTAACCGAATCTACGTGCTAATGATGTCAGGCATAAGAGAGTGTGACAACGACGGGCAGTCTCTATCACTAGATACCTTCACTCCTCCTCTGAGAGATATAGTCTAACGTTCACTTCTGCGCGAAGAGGTTCGCTAGCCCTGTCCCTTCTAACACACACTCTAGGCTCCGCCTCAATTCTCACCCACAGGAAGACGCCCTCGCGTATGACTAGACCTCGCTGTTCAGACGGCCTATACTTGCTCGATCCTTCCAACGGAAGACTAATGACGTCACAGACAGGGTTGTCACGGCCCCGGCCTCGAGGGTCCGGGGTAGCCCCGAAGGTCCGGTGCGGTGGTCCCCTGACCCCCGGCCGGGAGGGTTAAAAAAAAAAAAAAAAAAAAATCGAAAAAAAATCCAAAAACATATTTAAAAAATCTGGTGGGGTGCGCACCGCTGCCAGGCACCCCCTGGCGCTTTCTGCTATTTTGCAGAAAAGTGCCCCCCTGGGCCACCCCACCGGGGTCCCCCCACCCCGCTGGCGGGGTCATTCGGCGGTGGTCGGGGTTGAGTCCGGTGGGCCGGGGCCGGGGATGCCCTGGCGTGGGGCGCGGGGGTCGGGGTCGGGGCCGGGGTTCACCTGGGCCGGGGTCGCAGTGGTCGGGGCCGGGGTGCGGAGCCGGGGCCGGGGTGCGGGTG